GCACGTGTCCTAATTTGGGAAAGGAAAAGAGCCCTGGGTTTGCCATTTCCTACTTATGGAATGAAACCAGAAGAGCTTCATTTCCAATGATTAATTGAACTAAGGCTGCTGGAGAAATTCCAGAACACAGTGGAAAGAGGTGGGATTTGGAAGTCATAAGGCCTGGGTCTGCATCCCAGCTCGGCCACTTTGCCCGTAACCTTGGGCAAGTCACTGAACCTCCTCTGTGAAATGGACATAATAACACTGTGTAGTTGACAGGGCTGTCATCAACATAACTGAGCAAATGCATGAGCAAGTGCTTTGCAAATGCTAAAGGGCTGTTCCCAAGGAGGTTATTGCTGCTGTTACCCTTATGTCCACAGGCTCCTGACTGTCTTTCCTGGAGCCAAAGGCGGAGGCACCGGCCAGGGTGAAGGTTGCAGAGCTGGCAGCAGCAAGGTGCACGGAGGAGCTCCGCCAACTGCGGGGCTGTATTCTGGCCACAAGGTGAGAACAGAGGTGCCCGGAGAGAGAAGACAAAGTCAGTGCCTGAAAAGATCTGCACGCCTCTTGCACTAAAGGGAGCCAGCCCTGTGTTACCGTCAGAGTAGGCAGCTCAGTTTTGATCCCTTTATACAGTTCTGCATGTTTGTGTCAGTAGCTGCAACATAAAGGGCAGCCAGTGCCCCCTACGCTGGGCTGGAGGCCTCATGAGGACAGGGCTTTAGCCAGCTTTGTTTACTGCTGTACCCCCAATGCCTAGGACAATGCCTGGAACATAATGATGGGCAATACATATTTTGTTCAATGAATGAATGGGCTTGGATCAGGGCATTTCTCTAGGCTTATCTCCCCTATTTACTTGACCTCTGATGTCACGGGCTCCCAGCCCTATCTTTTCAGCCTTTGCCCTTGTCACCTCTGATTAGACTAAGGACCTGGTTTCAAATGCTACCTCTGATCAGGGTGCTGCTTTGGGAAACTGCCCTTGGGATCCAAGAGGGCAGCCCTTCCTACTTCTAGGTTCCCTCACTTCTCCCACCTCCAAGTTGGTCTCCTGGGCTCTGCCTATCACAGGGTTTTGTGGGTGTAAAACGAGGCAGGTCAGGGGACAGGTTTTCTTGGAGACTCGCAGTCCAGTTGGTTACCTGTTTGTTTAACCAGAGATGGAGGGGGTGGCCGTTGTGACTGGAAGGCCGCTGGGCAGTCTCCCCAGCAGGAGGGCAGCCTGCACACGCTCCACAGCTCTGAGCAGCTGGGGCACTGTGGCCATCTGGAAAAGAAAGCAGGGGATATTGCTACAGACCCGTCTCCATATACCACCTCTGGTTACTGTCACAGGACTAGTGTGGGACCTTCGG